GCGAGCGAGCTACCGCTTGAGCCACATCCCCAGCCCGCTGAGGCTGGCTTTTAATTTGCAATCCTCCTGCCTCTGCCTCTCAAGCAGCTGGGATTATAGGTGTGCACCACCACATCAGGCTAAGTTAAACTTTTAAGTGCCTTTTTTAAAAAAAAGTCGGTCACTCATAATTTCAGCATAGCAAATACACAGACAAATCGGAATAATGAGCTTAAGAGATAAATATATTTTATATGCTGAAAACTAATAATAGATATCTAGGTATCAATGTACACACATATATATGCATGATTTCCCTTTTTGATAACAAATTCAGAGAATGTTTCTTCGTCTATTTTACTAGGTAGCTGAAAAGAAACATAAAAAGTCTCTTTGACTTAGTCAAATGATCACTGGAACTGAAAATGGACCCCAGGCACCCGACTATAGGCAGTATTCTTTCCACTAGACAGTTGTGCCTGTTGGACTGTGATGTGGATATGTTGGGTTATTGTTGATACATCCAGTCCCTTCTCGGTTCCCAGGACAGGATCAGCCGTTTTGGCAAGCTACCCAGGTATCTGTTCTTTTCACTCCATGTGTCTCCCACAAGAGAAGTTTACTTAAACAGGAAGACCATCCCTAATGGAGTACGGTGCATATATGAGTAGCAGCTATGCCTAAACAAGAATTTCCTAACATTTTTTTTTTAATATTTCTTTAGTTGCAGACGGACACAATATCTTTATCTTATTTATTTATTTTTTTGTGGTGCAGAGGATTGAACCCAGTGCTTCACAAGTAAGAGGCAAGTGCTCTACCACTGAGCCACAACCCAGCCCCGAGATTTTCCTAACATTTTTTTATTGGGGTTTTCAAAACAGCTTTTTTTCTCTACCAGTTTTCTGCTTATAATTAGGAAATGCTGCCACCGGGTGGGTGGTACTACTTTCATTTTGGCTTTTTGGCTTCGAAGATTTTTTCTCAAGTTTAAATGAGAATTCAGCATTTGCAACATGTTTGTCATTTAATTATGCTTTTGATTTAAAAAAATCATAGTATCTCAGGTGGTGTCACTTAGGAATGTAGGTCAGATTTCTAGTTCACAAAAACTAGCTTTTATTGTTGTTTAAATACTTTAAAGCATTTTGACATACTCAGAACTATCACATTTGATTGGCTGCCTTATTAAACAGTATGTTTGACTTTGATTTTCCTTTCAGTCCCTCAGATCTTGGGTCATAACTAAAAAGAATGGAATTGGAAGTAGAGGTTCTGTTTTCATATCTTGATAACTTCTCTGAGCCTTGTTTTTTATTATTTTTAAATGAGAGTAATAGCCATGTCCACTGTAACAGGATATTAAAAGTTTATTAAGCAACAAAGGTAAAATGAACTTTATAGATTGCAAAGGATATTTTAACTTCATATATTATCCAAGTAATTTGGAGTTTTAGGAGACTTAGAATTAAGGATTTAAAAGCTTTCCAACCGTAGAATAAAGTAATATTAAGGTGTTAAGCTATAAATCACTGAGGCATTCTAGGAAAACTATTATTAGGTAAGGTCAAGGCATAGAGAAATGCTATACTGAGTGAAGGGTGAACTGGAATTTTCAGGCTCTTTCCAAATCTGAGAATTCCTGATTTCATACAAAGATGACTTGTTAAATCATCAGTTCACAGCAGAGGAGAATAATCCCATTAGACTAATTTAGGAAAGGCTGTATGGATTAAAAATCAGGGATTTCTTCTGATTTTGAAGAATGAGTAAGAATAGCCAAAACAAGTCTTGAAAAAGAAAACCAAAGTTGGAGAACTAACAATTCCCGATTTCAAAATTTAAGGTACAGTAATTGAAACTGTGATACTTGCATGGAGATAGTTATAGGTCATTGGAACAGTATTGAAAGTACAGAAATACCCATATTCATGGGCAGTTGAGTTTTCAGTAATGGTGCTAAGATCATTCAATGGGAAAAGAATTTTTTTTTCCAACAAATGATGCTGGAACCACTCATCCACATTCAAAAGAATGAATTAGGCCCATATCTCATATACAGAATAACCCAAAACACATCAAAGACTTAAATAAACATAAGAG